TTTAGGCCCTTCAGGAGACACAGACACTTGGAATATGTCTCCAGAAGTGAGGCGATGGTGTCGCCAAAGCCGGCCATTTTGAGCTCGCGATTTTTGACCAAGTCGGTCTTATTCAGTGTTCAATCTGCAGACGAGGATGAGCGCTGCATGTCGGATGTTTCTACATCAAATTCATCTCCTCAGGATGTTGATGAGGGGAGTGCAGGCATTTGTGTCAACGAACGAAGCTGGACTATTGGTGGAGGGCGCGCTGTTCGGAGCCACGGAAAACGAAGCATTTTGGTTGGTCCTGTAACCGCTGTACCAAGCAATCCTGATACATCATCGGCTGATTGGCCGGTAATGCTGAGGGATTGCCTGGAGGAATACTCACATTCCTTTTCTCAACTATGGTAAAGCGTTGACGGCACGTGGGAGAGAATTCATGTGGTTCCAAGAGTGGAGATAATAGAAGGAGACCAAAGAATGCCACGGGCTTGGATCCCACCGACACTATCATCACGATATTGCTGACATGCACAAGGTTCCCAGCCGCCTGTAGGCACACAAGTAACTGCAGTTGACGGGAACCTGTGATGTGTGTGGAGAGAGAGAGATTGATAGAGAAAGAGAGGGGAAATGCCTCTCTGTCAAAGATGAATACTATGAGGAGTAGCCCATCGTGGACGGCAATATGCAGCCAGCCCTGTCGATTCCATGACAGAACCTCAGCTCGGAGTTTCGTAAAGAACACAACTATTGAACGGCAACAGGTTCAACGAGCATATTGACCTGTAAAGGAGATGGCGTCGACCCATTTTGAGGTGTGTGTATGGTGGAATTCAGCAGCCTGCCGCAGGTCTTAGTTGCCGGGGAAGGAGGCATAGCGTGCTCTGCTCGAGACCTCGAGCTACTTGTTATCGTAGAAAGCCAGCTCGTTCGCAAATTGTCAAACGTCTGCATCGAGTTGGCATATGTCAGATGCATGTGATTAGAGCTTGCCACGCGTGCCACGCTCGGCATCCTTGCCTCGACGAAATGGATGGGCGGCCTCGCTCAGCGTCGCGGCGGTGAGTTAATCGAGCATATCGGGTTGTCATCCGTTATCCGCCGGTAGAGGCGTTGGATCGTTGATAAGGCACATGGGGTCAGGGACCAAAGCAGGGCTTTCCAAATCCAGGGTTGCCAGAGCCGACAAGGGTCAGTCTGGGAGAGAATGGCCATAAGGATAAGGGAGTTGGCACTTTGGGTTCGAATAAAGGTCGGGATCGGATGGCGTTTCCGCAAGGAAGCCAGTCGCCATGGTGGACGGCAGACCAATGGCATGCTCGGGAGATTTCACCGAGTGTCGCGATTGTGTACAAGGTTCGGTGAAACACATTGTACGTTGACGAACAAGGTCAAGTCGGGTTTAGATTCATCGTTCTTTGACTTTGTGAAAGCAGCAAGCAGGTGTGGCAGGAGGTGACGTCGGCAGCTCGAGGCGGTCGGTCTCGTTGATCTGCACGATACTACTTGTAAGGTAGAGATGCAGATAGCGGCCTACCTCACCGATGTACACATTCATGTTCCGGTCTGCTGTGCACCCTGATTTAGCTGCACAGATGCCGCCAATCGCCTTGCTATGTATGTACGGAAGTATAAGTGCACAGCACGGATGGCGGGGCGATGCATCGTCGCAATACTGATGTCTCATTGTCCAATGGCCTAGGTAGCCATAGGTGGGAATGTTGTTAGTGAGCCCAGACGAAGGGAAAGATATTTCGAAAGCAGCAGAGACATGGGTATCCGTACTCCGTACCAAGGGAAAGAGTCATCTCAATCTGCGCATGTGAGGCTGCGATCTAGGTAACAAAGTATTGTAGGATCTCTATCTGAGGTGGCGTAAACCTGCATGGCCGAAAGTCGGCGGCAATACCATCTTGACGAGTGCGGGCACTGGGATCTGGCAGTTGGCAAGCGCGACCCACGCGGCTCTTTTTTTTTCTTTTTTTTTCTCTCTCACCAAAGGTATCTCGTGCGCGGGTTCCTGATCCAAACAATTACCTAACAAGCACCCGCCATGCAGCGTCATGAGGTGCGTGGTAGCTAGTAGGTATGTACTGAGAAGTTCTGATCCATCAGGTGTCGAGTGCAAAAATTCCACGTCCGAACCGGCCGACTGCAATCGGACCCCTGCTCAACAGCGCCCGCAGCCGTTCGTTCCATGCTCTCACGGGAGGCACTAGACATGATTGCACATGTGAATGATTGATACCCACGGATACCGGTACTGTACTCCGTACGGTCCGTACCCAACGGCAGCAGCAACTCATGGGCAGAGAATGTGAGGTGAGGTATAGACTAGCGAGCAGGCACGCCGCACACATGGAGGATATCTGCGTCTTCCATTGGGTTGGTAAGACTTTGATGGTTGCAGTGCGTCTTATCTGGTTGGTCCCCCACATGGACCACTCAGAGGCTGTCTCTCGAGCATCTGACGGGCGCACATGGGTGGGCGCCGACGGGAGAGCGTGGGAGGGCTCTTGCTTCTCCTTGGATGCTTGCCTTTGGTACCTTGACGAAACCAGGAATAACCGTCTTGCACCACATGGCAACCGTCTGGCGCGAGTGAAGATGTCGGCACAGTGGCGGCGAATTGCGTGCGGGCTGCGGGCGTCGGGTGAGGTCAAGGCCAACCTCGATATCTTGCTTGCCTTTTTTTTTTTTCCTGTGAGTTTTCCTCCAAACTAGTTACTCCCCTAGACAAGCATATTGGTACGGTATTCCAAGATGTGCGCAACAAAGCGCCACCGTGTTGCTGGTGTTGATGGTTTGGCCGTGAGGTGTTTGGGGGTTCCATTTGGTTGAGCTGATTGATAACCTGAACTGTCATGTCGAAAAACGGCGCGGCGGGCATGCCCCGGCTGGTGTGGGATTCCTGCCTATTATCTGACCTAGCTTCCGTAAGTACCTCTCCTGGCAGGAAATACATGGAGCTTGGAGTGTGTGGCAGCCAAATGCTAGGTATCCCTATTTGGCTTTCCAGGGGAACGGCCAGTGCGATTGGAATAAAGGTACCCGTAGACCTAGGTAGGATAGGTAAGGAAGCCCCCAACCTTCATGTTTCCCCTACGAATGAAATCATACCCTCGGCCCCTCCCCCTTCCCCCCCGTCCCCCCAGTGGTCCCCCTCACCCCCAATCTCGCGCGAATAATCCACTGTCCCGCCTGCCGCTTCCCGCTTCCCCGTATGATGGAGTAGTGTAGCGTATTCATCCGCACACCATAGTCTCATACTGAGGTAGGCGGATGGGCAGTGACCGTCAAAAGAGAAGGAGAGGAAGGGACAACAAGAGAGAAACTTGTGAGAAGACGGGAACTACTTTACGAACCTAATGTTACCAGTGCCTTGTTGGCCAAGGTAAATAGTTACCTTCGCAGCAGCCATCCATCTCAGGTAGGCCGTACGGGCAGCCGGAACCTAGCTAAGGTACCTTAATCAGGCCAGCCTCGCCCTTTCGCACTTTGCGACGAACTCCAATTCCCTCATTCTTCCCGGCCCTGACGAATCTGGCCCTCGAATCATTGACAGATATCTGCCATGGCCCCCGTCTGCACTGCGATGCGCGCTGCATCGCTCACAGCCCTTTCGATGGAATTAGACCTCACCTCGCCATCCTCACCACGTAAGCGACCCTGATTATTTCTCTTTTGTCGTCACGTCTTTTGTATTTACTCTCTGCCCAAGCCTCCTCTGCACGTCGGGAAATTCTACACCCCCCCGATCCATACTGCGTAGTGTGTGCTGTGGGAGTGAACGGTTGGACATTCAGAGGAATATCCGTAGGTGCTGCGCTGCAAAACTTGACAAACCGCTCCCCTTCTCGGCTTCTCTCCCCTAGACTCCCCCCTGTCACCCTGCGGCCTGCCCCCCCCCCCCCCCCCCCCCCCCCCCCCCCCCCCCCCCCCCCCCCCCCCCCCCCCCCCCCTCCCCCCCCCCCCCCCCCTCCCCCCCCCCCCCCCCCCCCCTCCCCTCCCCCCCCCCGCCCCCCCCCCCCCCCCCCCCCTTCCCCCTTGCCCCTTCGACACGACACGCCTTTTTATCTCCATCCAATGCCACTTCCTTTCCGCTCCGCCCACGTCTGCAACTTTTGCCCGTCCGTCTCTCGAGGCCCACTACCTTCACCCTCGCCCTTCCTTTTCCCAACCTAAATCGCCGCATCTCATGTATTACAATCGCCTTGTCTACCTTACGATACCATGACTCTCCCGACCTTATTCTCCCTAATCGCAACCCCAGTCATTCCCATCCGTCCTGCTCGCCGCTCAAACTGAGTACCTGACCGAGTACGCATACGGAGTGTGCAGTACAGTCATTGTCTTCTAGCACCAACAAACAGCCACGTCCACATCCGCGTCTACGACACACGTTGCCCGCACAAGTCCTGCCACCGCTATCACCGTACCGTATCTTATTCTCACTCCTCCGCCCCGCTGGCCCCATCATCATCCCGTGCTTCTTCTGCTGTACGACGAGATACCCATCTCGTCGCGTATCGCAACTCCCAACTCGGTTCCTGGTATTCTACCTTACCCCAGACATCGAACCCCGAATCTAGGCACCTCGCCCAGACCCACGCCTTGATCTTCCCGGTCCCGGTCCACCTCCCGGTTGTTGGCCTGCTATCTAAGGAGCCGTCCCCGCCAACCCTCACAACATCTGACTTTCCCTTCTGTTTACTCGCCCTTTGCTACCTGATCAAGCCCGTGCTTCTTGGTTGGCCTTCTGCATTTCCGACCACCACCACTGACCTTTAACCGTCAATCTTCGACATCCATTCCATGGCTCAACCATTCATCCTCGCTGCATCGTATTCAGTGTCTCCTGCGCGCCCTCTCTGAAGCACTGGCAATCGCCCCGACGGTGACTAGCACTATCGACTGTAGTCACACTTTACTCAACCTATGCTGTTTTAGCAGCCGCTGGTCTCATTTGAAGAAAGCTCATCACGAAGAACATCAACACCAACTCACCCTTCATGTCGACGACTTCATCTCCCTCGCCGTTGCAAGGCCCAACTGGCCGTGTCGATGAGAAATCTCTACCCCAGGGTCAGTGCCGCTACATATTGCTCGTACCTGGCATCAAAGGCCAACGATGCGCTTGTGTTCACTTTTCTCTCAATCGATCTACGCCCGGCGCTAGTTGCGACTGTGGGCACATGGCCTGCTATCATGTCAAGACCCCAGAGCCGTCATCGACCAGAGAGGAGGTCGAACTTCTGAAGCAGCGACTTCAAGCCCTCGAAGAACAACTTGACCAGCAGAGACAAGGCGGCCTTGGAACCGTCGTTGCCAGAGTGAGCGAACTGGAAGACCTTGTCGACAAAAGTCGTGAAGAGATAGGCCAGGAGATCAAGGGCTCTTATCGCAACATCAACAGAGTATGGCAGTCTGTAGAGCAGCTTGAGCGTCAAACCTCCCACCTTCGGGAAGCCCTACGCTCCCAGTCAGAACACATGGAACGTGTCAACGGGGAGTTGGAGAGCGTCAGCAATCGACAATTGGAGCTTTTCGACGCCGACGAAAGCATCGAAGAGAGACTGGATCAGCTAGAGTCGGACCATGATTCTTTGGCCAGTCGAGGTGGCCAGGTCCCGAACATGACAGAGGAAGCAATCTTGTCCCGGCCAGACGCTGTGACGGCCTCCAACCGGCAACAGTCGCTGGGTGTCACTCTGTATTCACAGCCCGAGGCCGAGGTCATTCCAGGAGAAACCATCCGTACCTCACCAACCCTCAGCACCGCCGATTCCAACACAAGTTCAAGCAACTGTGGAGCTTGGACAGTTCATATTTCGCTTCTTCCGACAGCCTCTCAGCCTTTCCCATTCGAAAGGGACACCAACGCCTACAAGCGCTGCTTGTCCCGAGGGCTCCACCGGACTGTAGTAGTTGGCGGTCCAGATAGTGACTCTTTTGTTGAGGCTGTTACAAAATCTTTCGGTAGCCTACTCAGAGGAAGATCCTGGATGCCTCTACAGGCCAAGCTTTGCGACGCAGAAAGGCTCCAAGGGCTTCCCATGCTCAGGCCACTGGACTCCAGACTTGTTGACAGCGACTATGATCTCAACTTTCTCAAGAAATTTTGCGGCGTCTGCGAGGCCAACGGCAAGATCGATTCTCTATATATAGCCATGCGCCAGGACAAGTTTTCATGGCACTTTCTACGAAACTCTCCGATATTTATAGAGGGTCTCGAGAATTGCTGGATTTACGATCACTTCTTAGATCCAAACGACCCAGTTGAAGATGATCGCATGGAAGAGCATGATCGACCCTCCGCCGGAGACATTGTCCCGAGTCTTCCAAACCTGAAACGAGCAGCATCCGAGATGTCGCGAACAGCTGGCTTAACAGCTGCCACGACAGGCAGCGATTCTGACGGCTCTCGAACCAAGACACCCCGGACCTCTTGCCTGCCAAGTCTAGTTGAATCGCGGAGGCGTGTAGAGACTGTGTGAGACACGTGGTCTCTTTCCTTTTCCGTTATTTTCCCCGTCTAGCTTTGGCCTGTGGGATCTGTTTTTACTGCATTTTAGACGCGTGGTTGGCGTCCAGGACCCGTTGATCTGAAGCAGCAGTGGCGAATGTTTCACGAATGAGGTCTTTCGAGACGATAGAAGGTTGATCCACCTGATAGAGGACATTTATACCCATTTCATTTATTCACGCCCAAGGGCACAAAGAAGCACTGTCTTGGTCACTTTCCTACACATGTACAGCGGAATGGGAGCTTCGGAAAGAGACAAAAAGTCCTTGAGATAGTTTAGTGATAGTCTAAGGTAGGATAAGGTAGTCTTGGTCTTTTGAACAAAAAGTCACCTGTCACAATGCTGTGCCTAATTCGAGGTGTAATGGGACTGCAAATTTTCGGCGTGGCAGGCTTGTTATGTTTCTCCACGTCGATGGCTCCCGCCTGTGAAATCAAGTTGGCATGCCGGTAGAGCCCGAATCGGAGGACCTTTGGACTAGACGGAAGTAAAATTAGCGGGGAGAACAGGACTCGGAGCCGGTGAGACCCGGCAGGTGCCGGAACACAGTGCCTCCCACCTGGCGTAGGTTCTCCGTATCCACTAAACCAAAAGTGGAAATGGTGCCGCTGAGCACAGTCAGCCTCATTCTCCACGGCGCTAAGCGGCCGAAGCTCTTTCGGCCTGTAAGCTCCGACTAGTAGACGTCGGGTTGATCAATGGCCCTTTTATCACGTAGTTTCTCTCTCTTTCTCTACAATCTTGGCCAACCCTTCCCTCTATAAACCCGCCACCTTTAAAATTCGGGGAACGTCGCCGCGCAGCTCAGCCTTCCTTCGGAGTACTCAATTACTACAAATCAAACAAGCTTGAATTCGCGGGAGCGCGTCCAGCATCTCGCGCGATCTGCTTCCTCATCCTCACCCCTCCACCATACGAGCGCACGCCGTCGCAGATCAAGTTCAGAACGGAAGCGCCATGGACTACGATATTAACATGGATGATGTAGCCGACGGCTTTGCACCTCCGACAGCGACGATTGGCGACGGCACAGTACGTAGCGCACCTGGTGGTGCGACTTCTACTTGCTTGCTTGCTAACCTTTAACGTCAACAGAACATCGCACAACCCGCCACAGCGCCGTCTCCCTCGAATGAACGCGACCTCGAAGATTCTACCATAGTACGTAACAAGGTACACATCCGAGGTCTGGACACATTGACCACGGACGACATCAAAATCTACGTGAAGAGTCATTTTGGTACTCCAGAGAGAGTTGAGTGGATCGATGACGAATCCGCAAACCTGCTTTTTGGGTCGGAAAGTACGGCACAAGAGGCTCTGGCAGCATTGAGCGCCATTGAAATTGCCGACGTAACTCAGTTGCCTCCTAAGGAGACGATTCCAGCCAAGGCCGTCGCATCCCACCCAGACGTCAATCTTCAAATTCGATTTGCCGTTATTTCCGACAAGAAGATACGAGGTGCTGCTGAGCGAAGCCGGTTCTACCTTCTCCACCCCGAATTTGACCCGGAGGAGAGAAGACGACGTGAGGGAAACAGAAACAGATATCGCAATCGGGACGGAGATGATCGTCACCGCAATGGCCGTGGAAGAAATCAACGCGACCGAGACTCGAGCCCTGAGGTGTTCCATGCGAGCATGTATGATGACGATGAGGACACACTGGCAGACCGAAGACCCGCACGTCACTCGAGATCTCGCTCAAGAGATTCGACGCCGCGTGACGAGCGATCCTATGCGTCTCGCAATCAGGAAAAGGAGCTGTTCCCTGGGCGGTCATCACGAGCAGGAAACCGGCAACGAAATCGTTCCGCTTCACCCATGCGGGATCTGGATGGTGACGCAGCCATGGACGTTGAGGCAGCACGCGCGCCGAGGGCCAGCAACCGAAACAATAGAGAAAGGGCATCGGGCATCAGGGATCGTCTAGCTGAAGACAACAAATCCAAGGAACTGTTTCCCATAAAGGGCTCATCGATGGGCAAGACGCATATGGACAGGGTCATGGACGGCGCGGACGAAGCCACGCGAATCATGCAGCAAAAGATGAGCGTGAGCAACGACCGCCACGGCAGGAAGGACCTATTCGATCGGGACAGAGTCGATAATGCAGGTTCAAGTGCTGGATTCTCCATCAAGGGCGCGGCGGCCGCGAACGTCAAGGAGCTGTTCCCGAGCCGCTTTGGAGGTGGTGGCAATACGGGAAAAGAGCTATTCGCTGACAAGTTAGAGGGCCGTGGCCGTCGGCGGCAGAAAGCAGAGGACCTGTTTTCTTAGCGCGTCGATACCTGGAGCGCGTATGCAATCATCTTTGGTAGTTTGCAAGATGAAGGAGACTATCTTTACGACGAGTTTGGGAACACAGCCGACAGCGCACGCTGTTCATTTCAATGCCATAGAAACCTGAACTTTCGCCATGGCTAGCGCGATAGACGGCGAACTTCTTTATAGCAACCGATGTGTCCAGGCTGGGCATTGTGTGTTGAATGATTGCTCTATAGCCGCGTATATCGTCCTTCGTCACATTCTTCGTAGTTTCCAGAGGGAGTTGAAAGGATTCTGGGATAACCATCCAACTAGAATACTCTTACGGCTGGGTAGGGAGGCAAGAGCTGTGTCGGTAAACTTCCAGGCCACTGAGGTCTCGTTGGACAGCCACTCTTGTGCATTCATCCCGGAGAACAGAATACCGGGGCGGAAGCAGCTGCTGGTCTTGCTCGAAGTACCCGTATCATGTAGCAGCTGAGGAAGGCACGCCTAGTCTGATGTACTCGCCACTTCCAATCGGTCGAACGCGCCTGACTTCGATCCCTCGCCTGCCCTTGCTCGTTTCTTCCTCCTATCCGCGTACATGGCGATATCTCATTCAAGCTTCACCTTCATGTCCCACTCGCCCTTTACCTCAATCAATCACCCACGGTGATTCCCGCACAGAATCCGACCTCTCTCCTGCTCTTTCATATCAATGTGCCATTCGCCTTCCGAATAAGTCAAATTTGGGCCGTCACTAACAGTCGAGGTACGCGTCAAAAGGCCGTTGAAAAACATCGCCTTTTCTACGTCTCTTACGATCGATCTCAAAATTCACCACTGGAAGACTCACAAGACTTCACCACGTTCGTTAATCTTATACCAAAGTACTCGATGCCGATTTGGTTGATACACTCTTCACTAGCACAATCCAGTTGCCAACGGATATCTGCCATCAGCCAGCCAACATGGCGGACTTCTTATGGACAAAACCGTTGCCTCCCCGACGAAGAAGATCAGAGCTCACGCTGAGCAATCCACCTCCGGATGAAGAAGAATCTGTTGCGCACCTCGGCGTTCCCTCTGTTCGATCGCGCCAGTGGAAGCCCATTCCCCGCATTGCGAGTCTCGATGTTCTAAGTGCTGCTACATTGGGCACAAGCAACAGCCCAAGCATTAAATCAGACGGCTCGCAGTCATCCTGTCATCGGCTGTCGCCATCCCCGGCAGAGCCAACTGAGCCAGCCGATACAGCCTGGTACCAAGAGCGAGACGAGACGGAACGTGCTCTCTCACTGGAGCAGATGATTAATGCGTTACACTACACGATGATGACCAAGAATGTCCTCGATCCGGTTCCCAGAGAGTACAACTCCTACATCTTGCACTTATTAGAGGGTTACTGGGATCTCCAGGAGCGGCTGAGGAAGACAGAGCAGGAGCTCGCAGAGGAGAAGGAGACAAAGTTGAAGAGTCTTGAAGAGTTCACCAAGATGTCTGAGGAATGGGAGTCGAAAGAGGCCGACTTCCGCGCTGAGATCAAACGTATGGAACTAGTTCTTGTCGATGTAACTCCTGCAGGTGTTGGTGCAGTGGTTCTGGCGAGGTCTGGCAGTCTCGTCGACAGAAGCGCAAAATCCTCGAGACTTTTCAAGGCCAGGGTCGAGAAGGCTAAAGAAAGTCCCCAGAAAGGTACTTATTCCTTCAATAGTGGGAAGCACTCCTATCCCGTCTGCTGACCGGATGCGCGTAGGTGATGACAGCACCAGCAAAGTTGACAGCCTAGATAACCCACGGATCTCTATGGGCTCTGGGAGTCCCCTCCTGAACCATCGAACCTTCTGTAAGTACCTAGAAACGCCTGCCTTCTCATTTGTACCGTGTACATACTAACAGACCAGTGTCCATGAAACCTAAAGTAGATGACAATGCCGATGTTGAACTGAGCAAGGGTCTGAGAAAGGCCGAACGACGACAACAGCGGGCCTCGAGACGAAAGAAGAAGGAGGCCCTCTTTCCGTCGTTCAACATAGCATGGGATAGCTCATCGGAAGAAGAAGCAAACAAATCAACATCGATTCAGAAGACAACCAGGTTACCTGGCTTGGAGTCTATGAAGCCTCAACCATTACGACGAGCGGCACCATCCGCGCAGATCGCCACTCCAGAATCGTCCGCAAAGGAAACCGCCGTTCCTGGAACCTGTGAGCATGCCGATACACATTACCGGCCTGACGACGCACCACATACCGGCGTAGAATTGGCCGAAAACGGATCGGCCGCAACGGGCATGCCGAAGCAGGAGCGGCCGCCAGGTACCGACCCGGATGTCATGACGGCTACGACTGGCCGAAGAACCTCAGGGACCCGCCGCCATATGAGAGACTTCTCCTTCGACGCCGGAGAAGATAGCGTTCAGCTGCAGGCCCTGTCTGGAAAAGCTGGTATTCCTTACGGAAACGATGTTTCCGTGGGCCGGCCAGCGGCTTTCCCTCCTCAGCGCCCCCGTTCGTCAGATGAAGTAGCTCCAATGGCATCATTTACTGCAGGACCTTCCAACCAGCAGGACCAAACACTTCACAGTCATGCACAGGAGTCGCTGGACAAAGACGAAGGCAATACCCTCGAAACACGCTCTGGGGTTGAGCAAATCGGCGCAGAAGGTGGCAGACAGGCCACGAGACCTAGTCTCCTGGATAGACGGCGAAGCTCCCGCT